CCACGACGAATGTGACGCCACGAAGAGACGGAGAAAAAATATTAATAAGACAAAAGGAATAAAGTCCTAATTTCTATAAATGCATTACAATACGTCGGATGACAGTCAACCATTTCTGTACTTCAAAATTTCTTCATTTTGCACTTATGCTCGGTCAAGAGCACAAAAAGCTTTGCAGAAAAATTTTAAATTAGACAGAAATAGGCATTTATGAACAAAAGGAACGAAAAAGGCATTTTCAGAAGAAAACGTTTAAAAAAGGCAGAAAAGGGCATTTATGGCATTTTGCCTGAACTTCCGGGCTCTACTCATGAAATAGCAAATGTTCTAAAACACGTAACGCTAGCAGCATCGATAGCTTACTCAGTAAATTGATTAATTCCCTGAAGCCCTAACATTTGATTAGAAAAAGAAATATACTGTTAATTTTTTTCTTTTTGATGGAGTAGTATTTTGCATTTGTTGGTGTCTTTGAAAGTGAGAAGTGTGAAAGCTTAGAGAACATTTTGAAATAATTTAATTTCTACTATTGCATGTTTGAAGTGGTTTCAATAAAATTATTGTATTATTTTTAAAAGTATAATACAATTTCGGCACTTACCATTTATTTTTTCATTATTTTGCAATCGACGTTGATCAGTCAAACCAATTCTGAATTCTGTTCAACTCCATAGTCTCGTAATTTTGAACCCGACCTAGAAGATAAAGAAACTCCAGAATCAAGCATTGGTATATATACCAATGGTTTGATGGAACTAAACCACTTTTGCGTCACATAGAGAGGGAAACCATGAAAACCTCTCATGGTTTAGCCGACGGCGAGGAGATTCTTACCCATGATTCGTCAACCACTGAAGTTAATTTACGTCAGAAATGTGGTCAGTGTAAGCCGGGAGCAAAATTTATATTAACCAATCACCGCTGAGATTCGAACGTGGTCATACAATTGGGAGGCGAAAGCTGTATACCCTGAGTCACCGTGGCTCAGCATTTACCAGCATTTATTTTTTTCTTGCTTTCAAAGTTAAAATAGTTTTTTTAAAAAAATAGATCATACATTCTATGTCATTTTAATTAAGTAATTGTATCTAAATTTTCTGTTGGAGCAATGGGTTAAAATATTATAAAATTTTACTGCTTTTCGATATTTTTCTTCTCCAGAATCATAGAAATTGGGTTAATGATTTGCAGTTTATCAATTAAGATTAAAAATTATTTATTAATATTTGTCTATATTTTTAAAGCGATTCTTTAAATTTTAAACTCAAAATACACCTAAAATATAAATAAATATATCTGATTTATATCAATTATCTTTATATTAAAATACCGACAAAATTTACACGTTTTCACTTTTAGGTTTCGTATAAATTATCATTATTATAACCATAAAGTGTTCCTTTTATATTTTTAGGCCGTAAAAAAAGATCAGCACCTCAAAACGAAGAAGTTTATGATCTGTTAAAATCTATTTATCGTAAAATTCTTAAAAACCCATCTTATTATTCAATAAAAAGAATTATCACTGAGGGAACTTTTAAAATCAAAAAAGCAATAGATGCTAAGAGAAAATACGATAGCAATTCTTGGCTAAGACAAGAAGAAAAGGGAAATCTTTTAATACACAACGAAAACATCAACTCCATCTTATATACAAGGGACAAAGAAAACAATTTCGAAAATAAAAATGCCCTCTACAATATCCAAGAATTCAGAGAGCAAGAAAAGCTTTATAAAAACAATGACAACTTTAAGCAAGCAGAACTAGAAAAATTCGAAAATGTTTCTATAAACAATAATAACATAACTTCTATGCTGCATGCAAGAGATAAAAGAAGCAGTTTAAGAAATAATGAAAGCATCAACCATTTACAAGAGTTAAAAAGTCAAGAAGAGCTTTTCGTAAACAAAGATAGCAGCAATTCTATTCAATTAATAAATAAACATCCAATTTTCAACTTCAAATCCATCTTCAAATCCATCCAATATACAAAAGATGAAGAAAACAGCTCCAGATATAATGAGAGCAGTAACCATTATCATGAACTGCAAGGGCAAGAATTTTCCAAATACAAAGATGACGACAAATCCTTAAAAATTTTTGATAACCTTGTACAGCGAGATAATAAAGTCAACTCTATGCGATATACAAGGAATAACGAAACCAAATTCAGGATTGACAATGGGAATAAACATTTCCAAGAGCTGCGAGATCATTTAGCATTTTTCAAATACAAAGATAAAAGCAATTTTACCAAGTTATTAAGTAAACTTTTTATGCACTATAATAACGTCAACTCTAAACAATATACAAGGGATAAAGAAGGATTTTCTGGAGACAAAGACAAAAGCATTTCCTTAAAAATATTATATAAAATTTTAATGCTCGATGATACCGTCAATTCTATAAAGTATGAAAGGGATGAAGAAAACAGATTTATGAATAACAATAGAAGTAACCATCTCCAAGAGCTGAAAGGGAAAAAAGAATTTTCCAAAAACGAAGATAAAATCAATTCCATGCAATTATTAGATAAACTTTCAATGAGCGATGATAACGTAGATTCCATCCAATATCCAAGTCACAAAGAAAGCAAATCTAGGAATAGCAGTAGGAGTGACCCAACGGAGCTGAATGGGCAAGATGAATTTTTCAAAAATGAAGATGACAACAATTCCATTCAATTGTTGGATAAACTTTCAATGAGCGATGATAACGTCCATTCCATCCAATATCCAAGTCACAACGAAAGCAAATTTATGAATAGCAATAAGAATGACCCACTGGAGCCGAATAGGCTTGATAAATATTTCAAAAATGAAGATGACAACAATTCCATTCAATTGTTGGAAAAACTTTCAATGAGCGATGATAACGTCCATTCCATCCAATATCCAAGTCACAAAGAAAGCAAATTTATGAATAGCAATAAGAATGACCCACTGGAGCCGAATAGGCTTGATAAATTTTTCAAAAATGAAGATGACAACAATTCCATTCAATTGTTGGAAAAACTTTCAATCCACAATGATGGCATCAACTCCATCCAATATTCAAAAGAAAAAGAAAACAATTTCAGAAATAATGATATCAGTAACTATTTCCAAGAGCTACGAAGACTAGAAAATGTTTCCCAAAACAAAGATAGTAGCAGTGATTCTCTAAAATTATTAGATAAACTTTTAACACACGATGATAACGTTACATCTACCCTATATCCAAGTAATAAGGAAAATAAATTCAGGAATAACAATAGGAACAGTCATTTTCAAGAGGTGAAAAGGCAAAAACTTTCCAAAAACAGAGATAAAAGCTATTCCATCCATTTACTAGATAAAGTTTTAAGGCACGAAGATAACATCAACTCTATGCATTATACGAAGAGTAAAAGCATTAAATTCAAAAATAAAAATAGGAGTAACCAACCAGATCTGAAAGGGAACGAAAATTTTTTCAAAAACAAAGATAAAAGCAATTCCACCAAATTATTAGATAAACTTTTAATACAGGCTGATAGCATACAACGTACAAGAGATAAAGAAACTAAACTCAGAAATAACAATTTGAGTAACTATCACCAAGAGCTGAAAGGGACAGAAGAATTTTCCAGAAACAAAGATGACGGCAATTCCATTCAATTATTAAATAAACTTTCAATGCACGATGATAAAGTAAACTCCATCCAATATACAAGACATAAAGAAACTGAATTCAGGGATATCAATAGGAGTAACCAAGTAGAGTTTAAAAGACAAGAAGAATTTTCTGAAAACAAAGTTAAAAGCAATTCCACACTATTAGATAAACTTTTAATGCCTGATAATAACACCAATTCCATTCACTCTCAAAGGGATAACGAAAACAAATTCAGTAATAACAATCAAAAAAATCATTTTCAACAGCTGAAATGGAAAGAAGAATTTTTCAAAAACTACGATAGAAACAATTCCATCAAATTATTAAGTAAAATTTCAATGCACGATGATAAAATAAATTCCACCCAATACACGGGAGATAAAGATACTAAATTCAGGAATAGCAATACTAGTAACCAACCAGAGCTTAAAAAGCAAGAAGAATTTTCTAAAAACAAAGATAAAAGCAATTACTTACAATTACTGGATAAACTTTTAATGCAGGATGATAACTTCAACTCTATCCAATATGAAAGTGATACAGAAACCAAATTAAGGGATAACCATAAGAGCAACCATCATGAAGAGGTAAGAGAGCAAGAAAAACTTTTTAAAAACAAAGTTAACAGCAGTTCCTTCCAATTAAGTGATACAGAAACCAAATTAAGGGATAAACATAAGAGCAACCATCATGATGAGCTAAGAGGGCAAGAAAATCTTTTAAAAAACAAAGTTAACAGCAGTTCCTTCCAATTATTAGATGTACTTTTAACAGACCAAATTGATATTGTCAGCGACAGAAAAACTTCTCTGACTGACAATAGAATCTCTAGCTCAGACATAAAAACGACTTGTGTCTTTGATTTTAAAGGTAAGACATATATTTTCAACGATAAGTAAATATTTCTAAATTATATTCCCTTAAAAGAAGTATTTTTAACATGCTAAATTATAGACTTCATGTGCAGAATACAAAATTTAATACTTTTCTGCCTTATTGATTTTCCAAGTAGATGGCTGTGTTGTAACTTTTAATATTGATAGCATGTACAATGCTCATAAAAAGTGTACCTCAATAATTTTTGATCTAATGGTCTGATTTAAACGGTCCAAGAATCTTAAATACTCGAAAGACTAATCTTAAATCTGTTAAAATGCTTGTACAAACGATATTTAATTTACAAAGGGAAAATAAACGTTTCTTTCCTAATATGCATTTTTTTGTTGCTGATTTGGACTGTAAAGCCTCAAAATGGGGGAAGGGGAAGTAAGTTTAAAAGTCTGGGTCCATTATTCAAAAAAAATTTCCTATTAACTAATTGCAATTTCGAAAATAAGTTATAATTTTACTATTAACCATCTACACACATTGTTAAATTAACAAACTAATGACTACGATTCGAAATGTACATGGTTAGAACTAGCAACTAATAAAGAGATTTTGCTTAGCATTTTATTAAAATTAACCGAAACGCTGAACTTATTTTTTACGCTATGGCAATTTTTCGAGTTGTAGAAAAATTCACGTGCTTACTCTGTTAAGCTGAAAACGCGTAATGCAAAATCTCCCTAAGTCTTGAACAGTTTGTTAAATAGTAGCACCAGCAGGCTACCAAATTTTAGATACTCTGTACTATTCCACTTTCATTTATATCTGTAACATTTGATAAGCTTAAACTTTTTGCGACAGTAATAAGTTTTTTTACTAATAATTAATAAATAACTCTTCCTTTAATAAGCATTCCCTCTTTAAGCATTAAAAATGCTTTTATTCCAATTATATTAAACTTTTTTTTCTATCTTATATCTATTTTCAAGGTTGTAAGAAACAAGCTTTAAAGACATGTTTCGGAATTATATCCTATTCCCTTAATATTTCTTGTTCATCAGCATCAATTCCACTTGAGAAAAACCCATTAAAAACAAAATCCAAACTGAAGGAAAGGTAAGTTCTTAAAATTTTTTAAATTTAAACGAATTTTAACTCCTCTTTAAAATAATTTTTGAATTTTGTGATTTTTCTTGGTTTTAAAACATTTAATGTCCTATTTTTCCACACAAAAAATACGTAAAAATAAATATTTATTGTTCGCTTTTGTAATTTTCACAAAATTTATACATTTAGCATCATTCTCAAAAATCATGTGATCGTTTTTAATGTATCCGCGGTGATAGGTCTGTGAATTATATAGTTCGTAGTGAATGATATAGTGAATGATGATAGGTCCGTAGTAATAGTGAAAGATGTCTATTAGGAACACCTTAAAATTTGATCCAACAATCAAATAGGTTTTGATATTTTGTACTGTTTTTGTACTGATATTTTGTTCGCTGTAGAGGTTTGTAAGATTTTGATATCGTTTTGGGCTTTTTCCTCACTTAAATATCAATTTGCTTCCCACAAAGTAGATAATTTTTTTGTCATTTTTTACAAGTTTTCTAAGAAAACATAAATTAAGAGCTGTAGTTATGGAACACCCTGTCTAAAGGGGAAAGAAGAAAATAAACTTCTGAATCTATATTTGATATCGATTTTGTGCATGGAGATGAAGTAAAAACATTTATTGTAAATCATAAATTTACTTGAAGAAAACGTCACATGTAATGTAAAGATGATTCTATTATTCATCAAAAAATAAATTATGTAAATCATCTTTAAAAAATCAATAAAAATTAGGATAAAAGTAATGCGTAAATTTACCAAACTAAGCTCAGATTCTGCCATATACTAAACTATTTCTTATTTTTTTCCCTTTTTTGTAGAAGTAAACTACTTAATAGATTAAAATAATTTATTTTTCTATAATTTTATTTATAGAATAATATTTTTATTAATTCTGTTTTAGTTACTTTCCATTATCAGTGCAATATTCTACACAAGCTGGTCCTGTTAGTTTTTTTTCTCCAAAAATCGAAAAATCTAAACTTATAACTGAATGCTGAAATATGTTTTTGCTTTCTTTACATATACTATTTATATCAAAATATTTCTAAACAGCATAAAATATTAATGCTTTTTTCTCTACTCTTTAAACAGGTTATTGGAAGATGAAATCAAATCATGTCTTAAATATTATGACAACAAGTGTACAGATTATCGTTATATGTGTTCTAACAAAAAAAGCGAATTGTCAAATTATAGTAACAGTAATAATGATGTGATAGTATGTGAACTGTATTAAAAACTTTTATGCGCATATTTTATAAAAATGCCCTGTACAAACGTATTGAAATAAAAGTAAACGTTATAAATTTCTCCTCTTTCATTAGACTTCTGTGTCAATAATATAAGTGATTTATTTTATTCATTTAACTTTCTGCAAAACTTACGTATCTTTAATTTTTGGGATTACATTAATAGTATCCTGTATTAGACTTACCATATAATATCTATACATATGCATCTATCGATCTCTATTGACCAGTGGCATAAGACAACAACAGTACAAAATTATTTATGTTCTTCGTTTTTAAAATCTCAATGTTTCCCAGTGCAGAAAAATTTTGTTATTAATTTGATGCTATATTTATATATTTCAGTCTATTTTTCCCTATTTCAATAAACTTTCGGATTTATTCAAACAATATAGATAAAAACGGGTACTAGCATTATACAAAAGAAATAATCTTCCCTCTGAAATATAGTTTTTTCCCCTAAATATTTTTGAACTAATTTTTTAATTTATTATATAAGTATATATTTAGGTAATTTTATTCTTGCAGCTATTTAGGAAAAGGGAAAACTTAAATATCTAATTTTATCCAACTTTCTCAAATAATTTTCTTACGAGTATTGACGATGACAAATATTCTTGTTTCTTTTGTAAAAACAGTTATAATTCATTCTTTTTAGTTCTTTTTCAGCTGTTGTTTAATGTTTTAATGTAAGCTGCTTTTTTACGGAAAAAAATGTTTTTTTTTTTTAACTTTTATGCAATTAAGGAACTTTTATTTTATTTGATTACAACATTTCTTATTAGAATTTTGCATGCGTTTGAAGGGTTTTTAAATCAATTTTTATTTTGAGCAAAATTTAAAGGAAACAAAAATTCTCAATTTAACTTATCTAAGATAACATGAATGATGATTTTAAGTCATTTAATAAATGACTAATTCTGACATGTTTCAATAACTCAATAAAAATATTGCAATGTTGGCTATTTTGATTTGTGTTATTATGTATAGAATAGAGGATGTGCGTTAATGAAATATTGTAAAAAAAAAATTTTAATCAAATCATTTGAACTTAGTCTCATTTGCAACTCAGTAGTCTTTAACAATGTTTTACGAACAGCAACTAGTTAAACATGTTCTGTGTGCACCACTAACTCTCCTATATCAGTATAAAATATAATGAATTCATGGCATAAAAAGAGCTGCTTTTTATGCCATGTTACAATTCAATCGAGGTTCGAGCTGGAATCGAACTAGCTTTTATTAAACAGATTTGAAAACGATCACGCTCCTGCTCATTTCGGGAAAAAGATGCCCTTACGTAGTATCAATTTTTTTAAGTATTTTTTCTATTTTTTCTTCATTTTTAAATGTGCTGTAAATAAAACAAGTTTTTTGAAATTAATGAAATTTTTGCCAATAAAGAATTTTTTTCGTCAAGTGTAACGAAGACTTCGGGACTATTTTTTACTACCATATGAACTGTCCGGAATAAAACCCCATTGTTACGAGGATTACGGACCTGATCTTAACCGAATTCTGAGTTTATCAGATTTACGTTATTCTTATAGTCAAGAATCTCAGCTTGGAGTAGCGGGGGGGGGGGAAAACATATNACTTTTTAAAATAAGAACTTTTTACTTTTTACTCGTTACTTTTTTTAAAAATACTTGTACTTTTACTCGTTACTTTTTAAAAGTAACGTTGCCATATATGGTAACCACTAGGCCAGTGATCTTAAGTTATTAACTGGCTATAATTCAATATTTCCCCACAGTTGATTGATCGTTACGACACGGTTCCCAGCAGATCACAGAAGTCAAGCATCAGCACCTGCGGTCAGTGTGCGGGTGGGTAACCATTTGGATTAGTCTGCGTAGGGACCGAGGGTGTGCGGTATTGGTCCTCGTTAAACTGTTCTACCGTAAAGTGCTTGACTTCACGTGCAGGTCGTTGGGCTACCGAAGCGGGGGTGCCATCCCCTCCGTAGAGGATCAAAATTGTGATGGCATGTCTCCGGATCATCCTCAGGGATGCTTCCCAGACCGTCGCCAATAGCCCATTGTGCAGCTCTAGTGCGACGTAAGGGAACAACAACAACAACAACCAAGTGGTCTTGAGGCTTCAACTTCCTCTCTGTAGTGTGAAGGTATCAGGTTCGAATCTCCTGCATGTATCGTTGTAGTATCTTTTCTAGTTTGTTCTATCTGCTCGACGTCTCGCAGTGGATTGATCACAAAGACACGGTTCCCAGTGGAACATCGAAGTCAAGCATCGCTGGCTGCGGTCAGTAGGGTGGGTGACTACTTTGATCAACCTGCGTAGAGATCAAGGGTGCTCGGTATAGGTCCCCGTTTAACTGTTCTACCGTAAAGTGCTCGACTTCGCCCGCAGGTCGTCGGGCTACCAAACCAGTGGAGCCATCCTCTCTGCGGAAGATCAAAATTACGATGGTCAGTCTTCAGACCATCCTCAGGGATGTTTCACAGACCGTCACCAATAGCCTATTGTGCAGCTCTAGTGTGACGTAAATAAGGTGCCTGCCTACCTATCTATCTGTTCTACTACTTCATGAAGAGTTATAAGTCGTACTTTGTAATGAGTATACAAGCTTGTTTCTTTTTTTTTAATTTTGACACATGTTTAACTTATTCATGTTGGTGTGGTTATTGCAAAGACGACTTATAAGCTCTTTCTTAAATAGAGGAACAAATAGCTGCAATTAGAAAATTGCAGAATTCCAACTCTCTACCTCAGCACTAAAGAGCATTTGGCTTAGTGACAATACAGCTCTGTCAGTGATAGTTCTAGTCAGCAGGCGTAGTGACAATACACGCCTGCATATGTCTATGCCATAATAAATAAATAAATAAAATGCAATTTATATCAACATCTAAGAATGGACTATTTTAGGGTTAATATTAACATTGTTTGAATATTTATTAGTCTGCTTAAACAGGTAAAAGATTAAATAATTTCAAAATTCCCATAATTCTGTTTTATTCACAGATTTCTCGTGTTACGGTATCATGTGTCTTATGTAAATATAATTGTATCTTTCTAAATCATGAGCATTAGTATGATTTAAATAATATTGCACTGTAAAAAGTTAATAAGTTCAGAAAGTTTTTAAAAGTATTTCCAATATTGTACTGAATCTCAATGTGTTTTTACTGTGCTAAAAATGAAATATATTGATTGATTAAAACCTGAGTTTGATGTTCAAATAATATATTATAATGATTTTGTATGTATGATGCATGTATTTATAATGATTGTAATTTCAAACTAATTTGAATTTGTGAATTAGTTGAGTGTTTCAAATATTTTAAATTAAACTGCAATCAAGAAACGATATTGGGATTTAGATTAAGCCATTTTAATACAAGCGTTTTTCTCTTGTTTTTCATCCAAAAAATGTAAGATGACTTGTTTGCTTTTTTCTCCAAATTTAAACTTTAAAAAACTTGTGATCAGTTAGCGTAAAATAAAAGGGGTTATTTACAATAAATAAAAAACCTTTTCCGTTTTGGTTAAGTAATAATTTTGAAGGAATAATCAAAAGTATTGAAACACAATTGCATTTAGCTATTAACATGATTAAACCATAATTGCTTACACCGGAATTCACATTTTTTTTAAAAATCTTTGAAGCAAAATTTCTCTTCTTTTTTCGATAACCTGTAATTGTTTCATAAGCAAGGCTTTTAAATAACTCAGCCATTGAAAAGTGTATTTTAACTTGAATATTTAATTTCTAAATAATATCTCTAACGAAAATTCTTTTAAAATTTATTCATTTTTAAAGTATCTTAATATTTTTTTTTCCATATGTATCCGTTATCGCGCATCATGCAAAATTTCTGCGATTTCTTACAAATTTGCTTAATTTATTCTAATGCTTAATTTATTACAATGCTTTATGTATTACAATGCTTAATTCATTGTAATGCTTAATATATTGTAATGCTTTACAGCTGTTTTTTTTATAGCTGTACTTTAAAGCTGTAATATAGGTGATGAATGATGATTCAAAATACTGTGTATCTGACATCACAAATTTAAATTCATTATTCTTATGCATCAAATTTTAAAAAAATTGCCCCTTAAATCAATTAGCAATAGTAATAAAAAATTGTAAATTGTTGCGAATTGTGACAACAAAATACTAGTCTATAAAAATATTGGAAAATCAAAAATCAGTCCACACTGAAGGAAAAATTCGATGTAAATATCCAATTTAAGTTTTTAATAAAAATTTTGATTCTTAAAACAAACATAAATGTTATAATTTCCATCTACAAATTATTAAAAATTAATAAATAAGTAAAAATTTTCATTTTCCCCTTCTTTATAAAAATTGAGTATATTGTTGTAAAACGTATCAGTTTAGCAAAATCAGTGAAAATGTTTGAAAATTAAATTAAAAATCTTGTGTTCAATCCTAAGTGTAGGAACGAATTAGCTGTTAACGATACCTAATTTAAGTTTTTAATGATGATATTTACATGTATGCTAGAAATTTCGAGAGCATTCGATGTTTTAGTTTTTTGCTTTATATTTTTAGGATCTTATGCGTAGGGAGGATATTTTGAGAAAAACCTTTATTTTTTTTTAAATTAAAAAATTTTAAATCAATAAATTCATTCTAAACTTTTCATTTTTTAAGATGAAACTTAAATTTTGTTTTTCATTTATGCTACTGGAAAATTTAAAACTTAGGTTCTTAATCTCGGTTTAAATTAAACATTTGGCACATACCAGAAAACGCATTTTTTTAAAAATTTTGACTAAAAGTTTTTCGAATAAAGGACCGCAATGGTACGTTTTCGCTTACGCTTTAGTCACGTTTTGAGTAAATGAAAATGCTTTTATATTTACTCAAAAATTTGAATTTGAAATTTTTTTTTTCATGATATACCATATATTGGCGTACATATAACTTAAAAATAATCGAATGCCGGACAACCAAAAGAAGAAAATAATCTACCCTCTGCAGAACTGATATGCATCCGAGTTTTTGATGATTTT